ATTAAAAGTCTCAATATTAAAAATAAACACTGTATTCGAGCGATGATATTTCTATGCAATCGGTCTTTTACCTAAGTTTACAATTGGCTTTTCTTTTCAATTATTTCTTAAATATTTGGATATAGTTAACGAATTGACTAACAATGTTTTCAAAACTTTTGTCTTTGCAATGATGGAACCATATCTTATTTCTTAATGAACGAATATGTCATCAGGTTAATGATGACAAGCTTAACACAACCTATTACTAATGTATGTCTAAGTAATTATGAAGAACAGTGTTTACAGAAACGTCAAATTCCCTTTAAATCCCCTTATTATACATGGTGTAATTAGTCACACAATAAGATTTTCAGAGACAGTACTCAAACTAATAGTATTTGAACAGCCAACATTTACACTTATAGAACATCAGCTTGGCAATAGATTACCATCTTTTCTTTTAAGATAACAATAGACAATTTAGTAAAAATGTCTTTTATATACCGACTATAACATGATTATATTCACACATTTAAAATTTTGTTCTGCTACTTCCTTCCAGTGGCTCAGCGGTAAGTCTGAGAGCTTATAACTATAAAAATTTGGCTTCGATACAGGAATGGGCAGAGCACATATAGCCCATTGTGTAGATGCGTGCTTGAAAATAAGCAAACAAATTCTGTTAGTTAAAAATACCTTTTCAAGATACCCATAGATCATACAAACTTTCCACGACAGTCGAGTTTTTAAAGATGAAATAGCTAACATGACTTCTACCTTCTAATTTTTGAAGAAATGTTATTTATTCTACACAACAAATATAAAACAAAGTGTATGGTTTGTAGGAAACCTCTTTTGTGAAATTACCTAATTTGAGAACTTTTGCGTTCAGGTAAGAACCGAGCTCAGAAAAGCTACTAAACAGTTTTATACAGAGTTAAAATAGCAACGTGAGGAATGTGAAGTAAGAATATTTAAAAATATTTCTTCAAGCCGAAAAAAAAAGACATTAGCTATATAGAACAAGAAAAAATATATTTGAATCAGTAGGTTACACTGTAAAGTGTATTTATGATATCAGAGCACAGTGAGCGAACCTACACTGTACCATGTTATGTAGCTGGGATGCAGCTTTACATATTTTTAGAAAGCAGTTGCCCTAAGAGAATGATGCCTAAATCACGGTGAGTGAACTTACATTTTAACAATTGATATGAAGATTCGCACATTTTATCAAGTTTTCTACTTACCTCTGCTTTCAGCTCTGCCTCCAGCTCTTTTGTGGCACCCCATTCTGCCAGCTGACGTACTCCTTCCGAAGCGTATCCATCGTATTCCCACATCCGGAAGGATGCTCCATGGGAGGCGCCGATTATGTCCGAGAAGTGAGTCAGCCATTCATCTGTATCAACGAGGAATATAATATATTAGATCAGAATGCTCTTATTTAAGTATTATATGTGTAGATTACTGAACATATTCGCGATGGAAAGTACCATACAGCAGAAGGTTTGTTCCCTTTTTACGGAAACTAAATAAATTTTAAAATAATAAATGACGTATAGAAAGAAATACAGCAAAGCTGTTTTTTTGTCAGCCTCTGTTAAATATATTTGAAGTTTGTTTTATATATATTTAAACTATATATATATAGGGTGATTATAAATAATGTTTCACTGTTTAATGCGTTCCATCTCGGAAACAGTATGGCACAGGAACTACATCACGCCTACCCTGGAAAGTACTTAGCAAAAAAATGCGAAGAACTACAAATAATTTATTATCTACAGAAATAAAAAAATACATTCAGTATATAGATATATATATATATATAATTACATTCAAGTGATTCAATGGAAGATACATAACAAAAAATAAAGTCCAATAAATACACAAAACTACAAAACTTGCCTTCTGAAAACTATTCAACTAAACATGTACGTCCGGAAAACACATAGAACTATATCCAACTTATTGCCTTAAACACGAAACAATACCAAGCTTGCTGCGTTAAAATGTTTAAGAACTAGAGTTAATAGTAAATTTAAAACTTTTCAAAACTGCATCAAACATACTGAGTTGAAACAGCATAAAGTTACATTTACTTACTATTTGGAAAGTCCTTGGAATGTGTTTGTCGTGACCATAATCCTTCGAAAATTACTTCATACTTAGCTTCGTCACAAGCACAACAGTATTCAAGGGTTGTGGTCTGTTCTTCTAGGCTTTCGTTTTCTACTCCAAATAGATAAAACTTCATATCAAATATTGTTTAGAAAATGAAAAGTGAAAGTTTATATTGGTGATTCAATGCTACTTAGAGATTAAATGTTTGATAATTGTTAATATAATAACTGCATCTCTCAAATAAATTGATGGTTTAGAGCTAGAAATTGGTATATTTATGATATTAATACCATTATATTAGTGCTTGTATCTCGTTATAATGGAATCACATTACTACTACTGGGAAATAGTATGACTGCCCGTGCTTTTGTAGGCTTTATACTGGTATGATACTTTCTGATTGGTTGAATGATTAAACTAACAACACGTAGTAGTATTTGTCTAGTTCATTAACAATCGAAGAAACAGCTGAGATAAAAAAAATCTGTAATAAAACTGTGTATAACAGTACAAGTTATTGTTTTAAAAAATTAACACAACTTCTGACACTCACGACTTATAGACTTGTAGTTATTTAAGGCTATAATTATTTCCACAAAACTAACTCTTTAAGAAGTTTCTTCGATCTGAATACACACACACACACACACACAAACTCTTTAAGAAGTTTCTTCGATCTGAACACACACTTATACATATATATATATATATACGTATTAGTATATACAATCAGGAAAATAATTATGGAAACATAAGCGATAACCAAACAACGAGTAATAACAACTAGATGGTGAATTTATTCATCGTACAAACACTAACGCAGATAATGTAATAGTAAAGCGAATACGTTGTATAATGTATTAGTATTTTGTATGATAGTTTGTTCTTTTACACACGAACGTGGAGGAGAATGCATTTACAGAGCGCTTAGTGACCACGCACGTATGCAGGAGGGTTCGAAGCGGTTCAATTGAAACCCTTATTTCTAATTTTTTACTTTTCATTGAATGTTTGTGGATTTTATGTGAACAGCGATGCAACTGTTTAACCTACATTTCATGCACAATTGCTTCCACAGAGTACCTATTTTTACAACTTTTCTGGGGGGCATGCCCCTAGATCCCTGTAGTGTTAGCATGCTTTGCATGCTGATTGTGCTTCGCACAGTATGTGTTGGCTTTTGATCTCACAAATTATAACATCCCTTTCAAACATTCCACGTACTGGCCTGATGACGCAACTAAATACCGATGTTACGTGTTTTTACCGAGTGTTTTTATTTTAAGTCGCTGTTTTATAAACCAGTTTTTATTGTTCCATGATTTAAAACAATTTCGTATGCTATTTTATAGAAATTAATAAATACCCTATAAACCGAGCGCTTTCGGGGGCAAACTGAAGAAGAAAGGTCCACTTTTCGAAAGCGCTCGGGTTATAGGGTTTTTATTAATTTCTCTCAAGACTTCTTGAACCTACGTGTTTTTCTAACATCATGAGTATGCTATTTTATGTTATCAATCAGAAGTCCCCAGTGGGTCAGCGGTAAGTTTACGGGCTTGCAAAGTTAAAATTTGTGGTTTGATAGCTTGGAGTGGACAGAGCACAAATAACCAGTTGTGTAGCTTTGCATTAAAACACAGAAACAAATTAATCAGAAACTTCAATTAAGCTTATATTTTGTTGAACAAATGTAAAGTACGTATAAACGTCTGAGCTCAGAGTACCTTGTAAAGTACGTATAAACGTCTGAGCTCAGATTACCTTGTAAAGTACATATAAACGACTGAGCTCAGAGTACCTTGTAAAGTACGTATAAACGTCTGAGCTCAGATTACCTTGTAAAGTACGTATAAACGTCTGAGCTCAGAGTACCTTGTAAAGTACGTATAAACGTCTGAGCTCAGAGTACCTTGTAAATTACGTATAAACGTCTGAGCTCAGATTACCTTGTAAAGTACGTATAAACGTCTGAGCTCAGAGTACCTTGTAAAGTACGTATAAACGTCTGAGCTCAGAGTACCTTGTAAAGTACGTATAAA